GCAAGGGAAGAATCTCTGTTGTAAATTACTCCGGAGCAACAGTTTCTGGTTGAAGCTCCTCAACGAAACTTTGTCCATAAACAATTTCCATGACAGCGAATCCCCAGTTATTAAAAAACTAAATTGAGTCTTTTTATCACCCTTACAACGTCTGCCCCACGCAGCCTTAACCTAAATAATTAGCTTAATTAGCCATGCTCCACAAAGTCGTGTCCTTGATATGTGTCTGCTGTGATGATTTCTGTGTATTTACAGAATCATCTTTCGGGAGACTTATTGAATTATAATCTTAACAATCTTAAACTTTTTAGCAATACTTCAACTGATATAACTCATCATTTAAACAACTTAAGGATACAACTTTAACTAGTTGACCTGCAACTCATTACAACGCTAATGTAGTAGTTATTCTGCAGGGACTCCAACTAACTAGCTTTCCCATAATTTATACTTTTTTTTAAAATCGTACTTTCCATAATCCTAGAAACTTCAATCCTAAATATTTTATTAATTGTGATCTTCTAGAAACTGACGTATTCGACTTTTTTCCCTGACCTCTTTCCCTAAATGGATGATTATTATTAACGCATGTTTATTCTGCGTCTTCTAGTGCTTCTGTATCTCTTTCAATGACAGGTCCGTCCATTCTTTGAATTAAAGCTTTTTGTAACTCATTCACTGTGTCTGTCGTACACGTTATCTCTCTCACTTCTCGTTCTCGGATGAAGTTGAAACTTTGTACAATTATTCATTGTTTCTAACAAAACATGATTCAATTTAGAAAAAACAACAACAACTAATTAATAAATTAATTAATGGTGATTGCCCGATATTCAAAAGGGACATATATCTTACAGTATTGAGTGATAGGTTTGTAAATGAACAGTTAAAAGGTGTTTTTTTTATTTTTTTGTATATATCCGTTGGACTGTGTTTCCATTCCTTTCTCTGCATCTTCTTTTTTTCCTGGTAGTTCTCCGAAGAAAGGTCTTTGTGAGTCCTGAGGAATTTGTGAGGCCATATCACATCCCGGGACTAAAGGATAAGTTAAGTTGAAAGATGAATATTTTTTTATGTTGTAAAATACAGGTGGTATCTTTTTTAAAAAAAATGAATGTTTTCTTGTTCAAATATAATTTATTAAGTTTTTATAGATTACTATTGCTAATTGTTTTTAATGTACAGAAAAGAAGCAACAAATGAAAACAAAATCTCAGTATTATTATTTTATTGTAAGCATTATTGCGACTTATAACAAAATGCTCTAATTTCTAAAACACTGGATCTAGACTTTAATGTTACTGACTGGAATCTGAATAGGCTCATAAGGCTCGTTGTTCTTTAATTCAACCTTGGGGTATTCCACACTAGCTGGTTTATCAGCAGGACCGGATGTCGCAATGTAAGTTGTAATATTGCTTACAGGTGCTTCATCACTTGAGACGTCACGACGACTTAATGGAATTTTCTCCCATTCAACATCGACGTGTGTGCCTTCAACTTTCTCCAGCTTGCCAGTCAAAGTAAACTGGTACTGAGGTTCATCCGTGAGTCTGTTAATCACGTGACGTGCATAGGGGAACTTCCGGAATAGCATTCCCCACATCCAGGGACCTTCGTTATTATCACTTTGTCTTTTTAGTGCTGCGTAAAATGGAACAGAGGCGTCTCCGAAACGATAACTGAAGGTGGGTCTATCTCTGCTAGTTCTATAAATTTGATGAAAGTTACCATCGCCATCTTCCCATCTCAAGAATCCTTTCATCACTGTAGAAAACTTTGTTGTAACAATTGCAGTGTAGGGCACGGTAGTTCTGCTCTTACTTAAGATGACCTTGTATTTTGCTCCTTCCATTGGTCCTAGAGTAATTGAAGAGGATTTGCTGAATCCATCAGTTTGAGAAAAACTCTTTCCATTTGTAGTTTGCGTTGAAGTTGTATAGCGAAAAGTATAAGATAAACCCGATTTGGCTATTCCAAAAACATCAAAGTTAAGTGATATACCCAGATCGTGGCTATTGGTAAATGAACTGGTTGTTGAATGACTAATAGTTTCTAGGATGGTTTTAGATCTTTGAACAGACTCAGTCACAGGCTTAGAAGCTCTGTTGTTTAGTACGCCAGAGTCAATAGTTTCTGGTTGAAGTTTCTCAATGACACTTTCTCCGTAAATTATTTTCTTGACAGCGTATCCCCAGTCACCAAAAACTAAATTGAGTCTTTCTTCACTTTTATCACCCTCACAACTTTTGCCCCCAAAAAGGGTTTTAGCAGCTTCCCATGAGTCACCTATTCTCGTGAAATCTTCACCAACATCTACCCCTCGGCAGCCATAGCACCAGCCATAACCTAAATAATAAGCTAAATTAGCCATGTTCCACAATGTCGTGTCCATGATACGTGTCTCGATTTTACTTTTCTCGTCCATTTCTAGAGGTTTGGCTGCTGGTGAGCAGCACCGAATTTTTTTCAAGAAGTAAAGGTCATCTCCGTCAGCACGATAGAGTCCAGTCAGAAAATATCCACCTGGACATGAGCATTTACCCTTCTCACTGATGCAATTTGTTATATCAATGTCACTACATTCTCCATAATTCAGTGGGTGATTGGCTGGTTTGGTGCATCTTGCGCTGTCGAGATTAAAAAGGTAACCTTTGTATCTCGGCCAGCCGGTGTCTGATCTGTATAAACCTTGGAGGAAGTAGCCAACTGGACAAAAAGCCCACTCGTTATCACGGTCTAAAGTTTTTGTCCAGTCCTCATAGACTACTTGCTGTTCCACGTTATTCCATGGAGAGGTCGGTTGGCAGCATTCGACACCTTCTAAGTGAGAGATTGGGTCATCGTCCCAGTCTACATTATTTCTATCCAGTGCATTGATGTAATAATTGATCTGATCACACATGGACTGGCCAGTTTTATCAAAACTGAGCGACCAATTTGAATAGGAGCATTGAGATCGTACATAGGACATCAGGGAAACAACCACAAAGACTTGATAAAGCATCTTTAACTGAAAATTTAAAAAAATAGAAAAACTAGTTTACGAGATCTAAACGGGACGGACGGACAGACGGACAGACATTTCACACAAAACAAGCGTCTTTTCCTCTTTCGGAGCCCGCTAAAAACACTTTTTATTTTAAGTATAAGTAAGCATGAAAGATTCTTACATTATGATGTCTGTCGTAGTCACTTTCTGATCTCAACTTCTAGAAACACTAAAAAAAAATTTAATTCAATAATATTTGTAAAATAAGGTGTAACGTGTACTTATTGTTTCTGAAAGAAAAACGTTCTGGTGTTGTATTTTTACATATTAAAACATTAGGTTTGTGCAAAATGTCCGTCTGTCCGTCTGTCACACTCAGATCTCGAAAACTAGAAGATATATAAAAAAATATTATTTTACCATGCGACGCGGCTTGAAAAGTTTAGGTGCAACGGCTACTTTTGGTTTTCTAAAAGCAAACAGTTTAAATTATAAAGTTAATTATGCAAGCGATTTTTTCATAAAAATACACCAATTTTAAAACAATTACGTAAATGCAAGGGAGGCACTGTTATAATATGCTAACAAAGATGGACAATTTATGCGTATTTTCAGTATCACTAACACTTATTTTACATTTATTTTTTTTGCTGAAACATAGAAAAAAGTTTTTTAATCGGTAAAGAATGTCCCGGATTTAGTTTTGAAAATCAAATCGACCTACATAACATTAATAATCTTACAAATCGTGGCCAAAATTGTTCCGAATTTTATTAGAACAATCCACTAACGCCAAATAAGTGTTTGAAATCCCTCGTCTAACAAATAAAACAAATAATCTTCTTCTTATTTACAAAAAAAATGGTTGTTTTGAATTTTTATAAAAAACATTTTAACTCTATTTATTTTAAATCGCATTTCTATCTTATACTACAATTAATTTTCTTGCTTAAACGTTACAAAATCTAATTTTATCTTAATATAATATTCCGAATTTTTTAGGAAAACAACTTCCTAACACCAAAGACTGGTATGAAAATCTCTCCATAAGTCTTTGGTAGACAAAATTTTTATACTAGATCATTCCGGGCATGCCCCCCTGCCTCATAGTGGCACCCGGGTGGAACTGATCGTAAGATAAAACGATTAGGCTAAAGGGTAGCCAAACAAGACTCCCTTGGGGGGGGGGGGGTGCTTAAGATTGAATTGGTGACTTGTTATAAACTTAATGTACGTTGTTTCCATTCCATCAACAGTACTAGAGACTTTGTCCAGTGCCTGTGATCCTTTGAGCTGAAGGAGAATGAGCTCCATAATATATACCAGTATCTTGCTGATAGCTGGAAGTTCATGAATACTATGTTGTCCTTGATTTGATGATTCTGAAAACTACCATTTCTGAAGACCTAAGCATTATTTCTATAATTTAAAAAAAAATCTCTTGTGTTTATAATATTAAGAAATTGAAGATAATGTTGTTCTTACTAATATTAATATTTTGGCAAAGATATTTGATAATTTTGTTTATTTTATAATATACATTTAATAAATAGTTGTCCAACTTGGAAAATTGTATACTCAATTATTAAACTTTTTTTTAAAACTTTAAATGTAAGCTGAATGAAGTTAGCTAGTGCACTTCCAATGTTTAAAAAACAATACTGTATGATTTAACTAACATGAGACTTAAAGCTTATTGACTTATTAAAATATAAAGCACATCATTACTTCATATTCAGTTGTTAATAAAGGATAGCATTATTCAATTTTCAATTTTTAGTTACATGTTTAGATTATTAAATTTTATTATTTAATTTATAACAACTTTCTCTTTCAGTCAAGCTTAAGATACATTCCTGTAATAATAATAAGTTAATGGCAATGTAATATTGTTCAGACACTTACAAGTTTCATTTATACTTCCAAAAAACAACAACTAATGTTTGTATGTTTTCACTTTTTGAAAATTAAATATTTATTAATATAACAATCATTTTTAAATGAAACATTCAATACTGAAGATGACTATTTTAATTTCTGATGTATTCTCATTTCATATCCCTTCATTGTAACTGTAACTGGCTTCAGAAAAAACGGAGTGATGAATAAGTTGACAACACATTGGTGTACAAAAAATGCATCAACGACTGCAGCTTATACTGTTCTTTTCTCATCTTGGAATGTGTGGACTGAATATTTCCTGTTGCACTTTGTTTTCATAAGTCAAAGACACATGATACTCTAAATGTCAAATATCTTCTAATCATTACATCTACTCATTACAATAGCACATTTCCAGGCTGTTTGTCTAAGTGGAAGCAGATAAAAAATTTGTTCCTCTATTTGCTGAACGATCTCAAAATTCATGAGAAAACTAGAAAAAAAATTCAAACTAGTTTAGACATGTTATAAATATAAATATTTGCTAATAACAAATGTAAGACTACTTTATGTTACAACAATGGACAGCATCTTTAAAGCTGATTTCAATGCAATCGCAAGAAATATTTTTAACTCTACCATTCTGCTTTAGTGATTTCTTTTTTATTTAAATACATTTTATACATAGGATTAAATATAACATGTACTTAAGGTGATTTTTTACCTATTATTTCACAATGACAAGTAATTTAAAGTGATACATGTATGTTTTTAAAAAAAATTACAACACACAATGTTATTGGAGAAAGTAAAAAAAAAATCTCACTTGTAGTAGATCCCTTTCAATTTGAAAGTTAGTGACAATCAAATCAGGTTTTTGGAAGTAGTATGCTCCTTTAGTAAAAAAAAAATGAAACATGCATTTTACAAATTGTTCGTTTTAAATAAAATTTCTCTTAAGTGACTTGAGTAGAAAGTAATAGAAATATGAACTTCATTTAGCAATATGCTCACTCCAAGCAGAAGTGGTTTTTACTAATGAAAATTGTCTGTCCAAATAAGCTATTGAGACTACTGTCAGTGTCATAGTTTGACAGTTCTTCCTCTGAGACTATTAGGTATCAAGAGTAGGGTAAAACAAGGATGGGGATTGGCCATCAACACTATTCGGAATTGTTTCGTCTGTACTCTCATAGCGCCTTTAAAACCTGGAAGATGGAGTATATGTCCACAGTAAATCGGATGGAAGGTTTTTTAAACGGGCTTGACCAAGACGAGGAGACGACATAACCTGATTAACGAGGATGCGGCTCTCACTACCGTTTGCAGTAATGATTACAAAGGCTAGTCAATACTTCGACAGCTGCAGGTCACTAGTTCAGTCTTACAATAAGTCTCACCAAGATAGAAAGCAGGCATTAAAAAAATCACTATTAACATCATCAAACTCCATTTGAGTGAAGGCTTGAGAGACCCAAATCCTCTCTCGCTAAAGCCCTGGACAGAAACCCTGCTGTATTGCGTAGTGCATACACGTCACCAATAACTTGAAACATTTTTGATTTCCCAGGCCTGTTGAGACTAACTTCAGCAAGTCTGGGGCAGTGAAACAGAATCTGAGGCACTGTTTCCTCTTCTTCCCCGCACCGGGGGCACAGTGAATCGAAATTTGGCCATAGCCTTGAGAAATATGATCCAACAGAACAGTGGCTTGCCCTGCGCTGTGCTATAATAGCTTGCCATAAAAGTCACAGAATATGCCGAAAAGTGTAATTCATCCTTTTTCTTTTTTATCATTTACACCATATAAAGGCCAAACATATTTTTCTTACATTTTTCAACTAGTAAAAAACCTAACATCGAGACTTATTAACTTTACTTTACACATAATAGCCTATAGCACTATTTTTAAACTTATAAACGAAAGGTAATTTTAGCCCATCACAGTACGAGCATATAATTATAGTAATAGCATATAAATGTACCGGGTAATTCTGCTGAATAAGTCTTACTAATTTGGTCTAGGCTATATTTATTGCTTAACTCTAACTAAAGCTCTCACAAGAACTTTAATTCAATCAATGTTGTAAACAAGAAATTAAGAAAATAAGTTATAAAGCTTTACAGTTATAGATCTAAGCTACAAAATTGAGTTGTGCATACTTACATCTGTAACATCTTCTATGACAAGTTTCCATTCATGATTTGCTGTAAAAGTGATAGTTAAAATCTTCGGGAATAGTTTCTTTATATAGTAAAAAATATCCACCGGAAGTCCATTTACGCTGCAATCAAGGACGCCTCGGTGAACGGGACTTATTTAAATGAAAAATATAGGATTAGTACACAAAGTTGGCGGTGTGTGTAATGTATAGTATATGGCTAAAACGTAATAGATTGATACAGACCTTTATTTATTTATTGTTTTGACATTAAATAGTCGCTATTGTTTCTTTCTCGAGAGAGAGAAAGAAAGCAAATCGTTCTAGCAAGATAGAGGGTTAATATATCTCAGCCCGAAGAAACCATCCACAGATAATACGTCAACAATGTTCTATACAACACCATATCAAGTTGTTTTTTTAATCCATCGCATCCACTGGCGGAACCAGAAGGGGGGGGGGAGCGGACGGATTTTAGTAAATATATGACACAAATTGTATACGAATTTATGACTCGTGTTAATAATATATACTAATTATTTATATTTCAACATATTTTTAGATTATTTCGCCCCCCCCCCTTCTAGTATGTTGGCCGATTTAGTGGGATGGGGAGGTGGCGATGGTATCAATACCGCCCCCTTTCCCAAAATAAACTTTCGAGTGCGGGGGTGGTCCTATTTTGATGAAGAAATCATAGTTTGTGAACAAAATTAGTTGAATATCTATCTATATTATAAAGTAGAAAGTAAGGCGTATGTGTGTAAGTATGTGCCGAATAGAAATCAAAACCGTTTGACCAATCTTGATAACATGCAGAAATGTTCCTTGGGTACTAACTTTGACCGTAGTGTATGTATCGTAGCCCTAAAACAAACTTAGGACCCTCAAAAAAAAAAGTTGACTAACTCTATGAAAGCATCATAACTTCATCGATCTAGGCTATGTATACCATGTTTACATTAAAGATCGAAAGGATCTAGATCTAGATCTAATTTTAAGAACTACAATTTGCACAGATACTTTTTTACTTTGACACATAAAAATACTAAATATAGTCTATTGAATTCATTATTTATTAAAATTACGCTTCAAATTTGTGTTTCAAAAGCATTTTTATATAAATTCCTCCCTTATATCTGCGAATTTAGAAGTCCTGACGTACATTCTTTCATTAGACATTACCCGAAAGATTACACATCTCTCTATTCCTTGGACTACAACTTCTGAACCCAATTTTTACTTTCTTAGTTTCCTAGTCACTTTTTTCCAGCCTTTACTCATACTGATATTTTCTATTGCATAAAAAATGTTGAGACTATAACTCACAATATATGATTGAATTCTAAAAATGCAAGAAAAATTAGAGTAATATCTAATTGGTCCACTTAAGTTCTCCTTCCACTTCCTAAATTTTTGTTTAGAGCTTTGAATTAGAGTTCTGTAACAAAACAAAGATCCTTTTTGAATAGGATGAATAATGAGCTGTAGATGTCAGGAGAATGGAATTCCGCTGTGAAGAATGCAAGAAAACGCTTTTTTGCGTAGGGGCTACGCCCTGAACCCCACTGGAGGAGCTAAAAGCGCTCCACCAGACCACCTAGCTATCAAAAGAAAGGCCTCAACATGACTGTTTTTTTGTTTATTTCTTTTTTTTTAAATTATTTTTCGAATTTATTTTTTTTGGCTGCGATCCTCAAAGCCTTAATCTAAATATGTGGAGTATCTTATATTTTCAAGGAACAAATTAGTTGTATTTGCAATGTACAAAGGGACAGTAACTTTATATTAATTTTTTTTTCAAGTAAAGCTTTTTCAAAAAGTCCTTTTTGAATAAGATGAATAATGCGCTGTAAATGTAAGGAGAATAAATGCGTTGAAAATATGATGCATTACTATTTCTCTTCAAAAGAACCTCCTGTGTTGGTTAATATTAATAGTGAATAGTTCTAAAGTGGTGTATTTTTTTGAAAAAACTGCTTGCATAAGGGTTTTTAAAAAATCAGACTTTACTCTTCCAGAAAAGAAAAAAAGTAGCCGTTGCATCAGAACTTTGAATGACCTAAAATATTATGATGTCTAGTTTTCACTATCTTTCCTAGTTTACGAGATCGAAACGAAACTGACGGACGGACGGCCAGATATTCCACACAAAACTAACAGCGTCTTCTCTTCTTTCTGGGGGGGAGGGGGGGGGGGCGCTCAAAATAAGAACATATCATCTGATTAAAAAAATATATATATATTGTATGGGCAGGTACATTAGTACTTTTTTTTTTCCATTTTTGTTTCAGTTGAATAATTTAAAAAGCTAAATTTGTTAGATGTTGCCTGTAGATATAAATGAATGCTACAATTAAAAAAAAAATATATAAAGATATTATTGCACTGTTTAAATTTGTGCATAATGTTTCTGAACTATGGAACAAACTTACTAGTTGATATCCTAGTGACTATTGCCAAATTAATGTCAGCAATTTAGTCAGCATCCACCTGTTCTAAAACATGTTTATTTCAAACATAAAAAGCTTGTTCACAGATGTACGTGGACCTGATTACTATGAGAGATTAGCAGCAAAGCCTTTAAAGTATGGAAATACAGCTTCTATCACCCATGCATCTTCCTCGGAAGAACTGACTGGAACTTCCCCTTTAGGGCATAATTTTTTGGTGCTAAATCAGCTTCTGCACTAAATGGTGAGCTGAGAATATTGTAAACTGGTTCCAAGCTCTTGACGTCTTAAAATTTGCTTTGCAATTCCACATTCAAGGAATCTAAATAAGTCTTGTACTTTTCAACCATTTCGTTAGAAATAGTTACACATTTCAACAAAGGAAAATGATAAAACTTGTTTTCACTTGCCTGCCTGGAGAAACGGGAAAACTTTGTTTGAAAAGATTTAATATGAACACACATATTATGGGCAAACAACCCATCGCTATACTTCCGATGAAAAACATGAAGCCTGCCCTCCAATTTTGTTAGCAATTTTAGAAAAAGTGAAGGAACATAACATTTTTTTTACTTAATATTCCATATTATTCTCAATATCTTGCCCATGTTAAGTATGCGGATACTAGTGAGGTACCTTACATAGGAATGGTTTGTTTCTAAATCTGCATATGCTTCGCGAAACTGCATGCGGTTAAGTCCCCTAGCTCTGATGAATTTGATCAATGAGATAATTTTATCAATAATATGTTTGATATTCAATGCATCTTTGCACAAACTTTCCCTATTAGAGTTCATGGTT